AGGAAGTGTGTGCACTAGGGTTGTATTCTTTCACCATCCTTATTCAATCTGTATGCTAAGCAAATAATCTGAGAAACTGGATTATATGAACAGGAACATGATATCAGGATTGGAGGAAGACTCATATACAACCTGCAATATGCAGCTGCTAACACCTTGCTTGATGAACGAGAAGAGGACTTAAAATACTTACTGATGAAGATCAAAGACCTCAGTCTTCAATATAGGTTATACCTTAATTAAGAGAAACAAAAGTCCTCACAATTGGACCAGTAAATAACATCTAGATAAATGGAGAAAAGATTGAAGTTGTCAAAGACGTCATTTTGCTCGGATCTACTATCAACACTCATGGAAGCAGTAGTCAAGAAATCAAAGGACATACTGCATTAGGCAGATTTGCTTCACAAGATGTCTTCAAAGTGTTCAGGAACAAAGATGTCAGTTTGAGGACTAAGATGCACCTAACCCAAGTCATGGTATTTTCGACAGCCTCATATACATGTGAAAGTTGGATAGTAAATAAGGAAGACTACAGAAGAACTGATGTATTTGAGTTATCATTTTGGAGTTAAATATTGAAAGCACCACAGACTTCCAGAAGAACAAACTAATCTGTCATGGAAGAAGTACAGCCAGAATGTTCCTTAGAAGTCCTTAGAAGTCAGACTTCATCTCTCATACTTGGGACGTGTTATCTGGAGCTCCAACAAGATGGACTGGCACAGTGGCAGTAGCAATGGGCTCAAGTGTACCACCAATTGTGAGGATGGTACGAGATTGGGCAGAGTTTCATTGTGTTGTGCATAGGGTTGCTGTGAGTCAGGACCGACTCGACGGCACCCAACAACAACAAACATAACGGAATAGTTGGAAATGGGTAATTGCGATGTTTGTGTAACATGATGAACACAGTATTACTGAATTGTACTTAGGAAGAATGTTGAAATGGAAAATGGTTTGTTGTATTGAATTATTTCTTCTGTTAACCCATTTGAGCAGGCACAAGCCAATCATGGGTCAAGCACTCATCAAAAATGTTGACAGGACTAGAGGAGGAGAAATAGGTGGTAAATCAGTGCTAACTCCTGGGGAGGGCCCCTGTTTACAAGAATAGTAAAGAATAAAACCACCCACATTGTTGTTTGTCTGTGAGCTCCTTTAAAACAGAAACCCTTGTCTAATTGTGTGTGTGTGATTTTTTTTAGTGTTAGCGCAATATCTATCATATACAAAGCATTTAAAAATTTAAATAAATAATTGAATGAATGAATTTAAGCAAAATTGAGTTTCAGTTTACTGAATAAATGAGATGCTAATGTTGTACATTTCAAACATGGGTGTCCCCTGTTCCCGGCCAGTGTATGATTTTTAGAAGCTTCACGAACATCAAATAATACAATAGATCACAATACAATAGTTTCTGAAGGGAATAATGAATAATAAATATTTGTTTATATTAGTATCTCATGCAGAAAAATGTGGTTATGAGCATTCCAGGATAAATGCAGATCCTCCTGAGCTTCAGGATCCACTTGCTTGATATTGAGAGCATTTTTGCTGTTGGGAAACTTTGCTTCTTATCTCTAATGCAAAAATCGGCTTACAGAACTACCAGAAAACATGACTATGCTATGTTTTTGAAAATAATTTTGATAGACAAATAATCTATTACATTTCTTTGCATTACATTGGGTAAAAACAAAATGTAAAGCCAGTTTGAATTTGAATCTTAATCTGTCTAAAATACTATGTGTTAGCAAATCTCTCTAACAATATGAGTTAAAACTTTTCTGGCATTGCATAGCAATTGTTCTCCTCAAGTAGTGAACTGTACAGATAGTTAAGGTCCCGGGTAACACGAATGGTTTGCTCTTGACAACTAACTGAAAGATTGGTTGTTCAAACCCACCCAGTAGTGTCACGGAAGAAAGACCTGGAGAGCTGCTATTATAAAGGTTTCTATCATGAAATCCCAATGGAGCACAGTTCTACTCTCTAACACATGGGGTTACCATGAGTCAGAGTTGACTTGCCCGCAAAGGGTTTCAAGGAGATTAACAAAGGGCAAAAACACATAGTAAAGGTGACTCAATTTGCATTCACCCCCTCTCCTGTCCCTGGAATTAGAAAAGGATGTTTCTTCCCTCTACCTGTGTAACGGAGCTGTGGTACCGTAGTGGTTACGAATCAGGCTGCAAACCTCAGGGAGAGCAGTTTGAAACTACCAGCTGTTACGCGGGAGAAAGATGAGGCTTTCTGCTCCCGTAAAGATTTACAGCCTCGGGAACCCTGTACAGGGTCGCTATGAGTCAGAACCAAGTCCACGGCACACAACAACAACAACAACAACAACCTGAGTCTCCCACTGTTAGTATATAGGAATTTAGGAGTGCCGGTTATATGAAATGCATTTCAAATCAAGCTGACAATTAGACCTTTCAGTCCAAGTCAAGGACAGTGACTAACTTGAGGGATGCTGATATCACTTATTCGGTTTATCTATATTCTATAATAAGAGTACTCATGTGACACTGTAGGATAAACACTGGACTGCTCTCTACAAGGTCAGCACTTCACACCCATCGGCCACTCCTCAGACACCCTAAATAGGGTTGCTAAGCGTCAGAACCAACTTGACGGCACTTAACAGCCACAACCACATGATAAGAAAAGTAGTATTAAATCAAATGATATTGTTAACCTTTATAAATAATAATAAAAACAAAATCTTGTTTTCTTGCACAGTAATAAAACTTATTACCAGCAATCTTGATTTGGAGTAGTCCCTATCCTCTGACTTAGCTGTCTCACTGCTTGGTCCAGGTGAAGATGCTCTCTGGGATTGCTTCACTACCTATGCCACCATCTGGAGGCTGAATCAGTGTGCTCTGCTATCACGGGCTAGTCGGGAAGAATAGGAGCACTCGGGATGCAGTTGTGTTGTTATTGGCAGCTGCCATCAGCTAGCCCTGGACTCACGACTACCACATCCTCGTGAGCAGTTTGGGATAGGACCATGGTGACCATAGGGTTTTTAGGGATTCATTTTTGGAAGTAGATCACCCAGTCTTTCTTCCTGGTCTCTCTTAGTCTGGAAAGTATACTTATTCAGCCTCACAGTGGCACACAAGCCTCCACTGAGCAGTGGGTGGTGGTTGCGTATGAGGGGCACTGGATGGGAACTGAATCTACGAGTCCCCTGTGGAAGGTGAAAATTCTACATTGAACCCCTCCTGCCCCTGACTGGGTAAGAAACACAAACTGCTTTCACAGCATTGAGGCCAGAGACTCAGCCGTGCCCCTTAGTAGCTGTACAATGTCTTAGGCAAGTTACCATTCAGTGACTGCAGGTCTTGAATCTATAAACTGAGAGTAGTAACAATTGTTGGAGTCCTGGTGTGGCGCTCTGGGTTAATGCGCCGGACTGCAAAGCCGTTTGAACTGCATGGTCAGTGGTTCAAGCTCACCAGCTGCTCCTCAGAAACCCGATATAGGGTCGCTATGGGTTGCAACCGACTCGATGGCACTTCACAACAACAACAACTACAGCAACAATTGTCATGAAAATTAAAATTAATTGATGACACATAAAAATACTTAATAAACTATAATATGGTGTTTAGGTGCCATGAAGTCAGTTCTGACTCATAGTGACCGTATATAGGGTTTTTGAGGCTGTAAATCTTTATAGGAGTGGAAATTCACATCTTTCTCCCATGGAGTGACTGGTAGATTCAAACTGCCAATCTTTCGGTTAGCTGCCCAACCCATAATCCACTGCGCCACCAGAGCTCATAACTAATATATGCCACCACTTGACTGTCCGTTTGTTGTAGTGTTGGTGGCTTGCGTGTTGCTGCGGTACTAGAAGCTATGCCTTCGGTATTTTAAATACCAGCAGGGACAGTCCTAGTGGACAGCTTTTATATGAGCTTCCTAAGTCAAGACCAAGATAGACTTGAAAGAAAGAGAGGCGGACTGCTTCTGAAAGGTTAGCCACTGAGAACCTTTTAAATCAACTATAAAAAGCACTGTAAATCTTAATGATTTCTAGTTTCTTGCTTGTTTTTTCGGCCTTTTCCAATCTAGTGTTTCCTTCCTTTAAACTCATGATATCGTAGTATTTCAGTCACTGTCTTGGCAATTAATTGCAGACTCCCTTTGTTGTTGTTGTTGTTAAGTGCCATCGAGTCGGATCCGACCCATAGAGACCCTGTACAGGGTTTCCGAGGCTGTAAATCTTTACGGGAGTAGAAAGCCTCATCTTTCTCCCGCGGAGCGGCTGGTAGTTTCGAACCGCTGACCTTAAGGTTCGCAGCCCGATTCGTAACCACTACGCTACCAGAGCTCCTTAATTGCAGACTCCCTACCGTGTCTCATATTACTGTATTTTGTATCATTTCACCTTATTTTGTCTTTCTTTACTTCCCCTTTTTATAGCCCATGCCTCTCCTGTTGTAGGCAATCTGGAAATATCTACTTATTAGATGAATGTAAGCATATTAGTAGTATATTTTTTTAACTCCAAGTGTTTTCAGACAGATGAACATTTTTATTTGAAGGGATGTCACGTAACTATTAGATTATGTTCATAGGTTTCATAGATTCTTCCAGTATTAACTGAGCGAGAGACCCTGGTGTTGCAGTGGTGAAGTACTCACCTGCTAACCGAATGGTCAGTGGTTCAAATCCACTAGCCAGTGGATTGGAGAAAGAGGTGGCAGTCAGCTTCCATAAAGATTTACAGTCTGGGAAACACAGTCTGCAGTTCTCCTCTGCCCTACATGGGCACGACCCATTGAAATCCAGCACTGGGAGGCAGAGTGTAACACTTTCTCCATTTTATGATGCTTTTAAATCCAGCTCTCCCAAGACTTGACTGTGCTTCCACATAAATAATGCCTCCCAGCTCTTGGCTTTCTGCTTGCCCCTACAAGGATAACGTTGCTACTGCCAAGTTATGTAAACCTTCTTGTCTCTTCTCTTTGTGGTGACAGGCCCACCTCATCATCCAGAGTAAATACCCCTCTCACGAGGAGGCATCTGACTCCGCACACTTTGTGGCCCAGGCTGCTGTCACATCCGGAAGGCCTGAGCATCACGGTGAGTCAGCCTTCTGAGCGTGAGGGCCCAGCTTGCTCCCCGTGCCTGTGAGCTGGCTGCCTTCCTATGGGAGGGTGGACAGAGCTCTGCCCTGGGCCATTCTGGGGGCCTTGGTTAGTTTCTCGTATCCTCTGCAGCTCTGTTCCTCTTTGTTTCCCAGAGTCCTTGGCTTATATCCCTGCATAGTCTTCCTCCAATCATTTACTTTTGAAAACATCCGATCTTCATCCAAACATAACTATTAAGAGTTCCAGAGAATTCACGCTGGGCTTACAAGGAAATCAAGTCTGCTTTCAAAAGTGATCTATTTTTAAAGATGGTTGTGGAGCTACTGTGACAACAGGGCCTTTCATATTAGGGCAGACTTTCACGGGGCCAGGCTTTCAATTAGGATCTCAAAAGGAAGTTACCATTTATTACACACGGGGTTTTTCTTAGCCACACGTAGTAAGGAGAGCAGTGAGCTTCGGGAGTTCCTTAATCCACCATCCTGGGCTCAGGACATACAATAGGCCTCTTATGAGGGAGAACACACATTCTAGTGACTTCTTTGTTGCTGTTGTCAGATAAAAAGACTTACATATTGAGTAAAATGTAGTTCAGTGTTCCGGAAAGCATACAGTGGGTATTCAAGAAGGGTTGGGGTTTGGGTTCAGGAAGCAGGAGTTGCCAAGACAAGGAGGCTTGACACATGGAGAATGGTTTGCAAAGAGCCCTAGGCTAGCCATGGACACGCTCAGGAAGGGGTTCCCAGTGTTTGCCCATCTGTCCATCCTAACTTGTAGTTGCATCGTTTTGACTTCTTGGAGCTGAGGGCTCTGAGAACTGGAGGAATTTGTGGAGGAACAGAGACAGCAGTAAAGGGACCTTTCAGTCCCCCCTCCCTAGATTACTCCACCCATAATCATCAAGCTGGCCTTCAAGAGGTTTTTTTTTTTTTTTTTTTCCAGAAAACCACTTTTTGACCAACATTTTAATGCCTAAAATTCTTTTGCTAGAGGGAAAGAAACTTCTACTCCACAGATATTAAAAAGATGTTGAACATGCATGCTTGAAGGAAACCCTAGAATAGCAGAAGTTAACCATCTAAATGTCTACAGAAAATAGCCACCTGAGTGAGACAGGTGGTTATTAGAAAACAGGAGTAGGTACAAGTGTGACTTAACGTAGCAGCTAGCTGCTGGCTGTAGTTTGAGAAAGACAGTAAAGAGAGGCAGAGATGGTGGCAAACTACAGACCTCAGGTCCATCAAAAGTGGGCAGCTGCAGCTCCGCTCCAGTCACTGCTGCCATGAGCAGCTTCTGCTTTTTCAAGAGAAGGCAGACATCTAGATTTTGTGTGAAATCCATCATTTATGAGGGATAATAATTAAATTGACTAAGTCCATAATTTCTGACCTGACCAAAAGAAGTTTGAATGCTTGGTTATCCTTTCTGGTTTTTACTGGGGCATCTGGGTTATATCAACTGGAGAGTTCTAAGTCTTAAGCCAGTGGTATGTGGGTGGAAAGTCCCTTGGCAATAGCAAACAGGTAGTCACAGCTAAGGTCAAAGGCCACATTTACCTGAGGGTTCCCTGGCATCTCACCTACTGTTCCTGCACACACTTGTTGGGTGAATTGGCTTGGGACCACTCTGCATGATTGATATAATCGGACACAATTCAAGTTGAATTCTATAATAAAATGTTTCCCAGCCTCCTCTATAAAATGATGGTGGTAATCTTATCCGCTTGATACAGGTGTAAGAATTGAATGCCCTTAAAGTAATGCTAACTAATGGCTGAAGAGTGTGTACCAGTATGGTTCCAACTGCATTACATTTATTTACCCAATGCTTACAACAAATCTATGAGATAGGTACAATTATTTCCATTTCTTGGATGGGGAAACTGAGGCCCAGGTAGTGTGCATAGGAAAATAGCCAGTAAGTAGCAGAGATTTGAACCCTGACAGCCTGGCACCAGCGGCTCTTTACTGCCATGCTATATTATAGGAAATGTCACTACACAAGTCCCCTTTCTTACCTCAGCCCTTATCCCTCAGGCCAAGCAAAGAGTCTGGAGTTTAGGACAGAGAAGGGATATGAGAGAGCAGAGGGAGCTTCAAGAAGAAACTTGGGAGGGCTGAGGGAATGAAGACAGGGCCAGGCCCTGGCCTGCAATCTGCCCATGTCTTCAGCACTTCTGGGCATTGGGAGACCTGTGCCAGGAAGCAAACTTGCCAGTTAGAATTTTAAATGTGTAAGGAGTCCTGGTGTGGCGCTGTAGGATGAGCACTGGACCACAAGGTCGGTTTGAACCGCAAGGTCGGCAGTTCAAACTTACCAGCCGCTCCTTAGAAACCATAGACAGGGTTGTTATGAATCGGGACTGACTCAATGACACTTACAAACAACAACAAAGGAGTATAAAGGATACGAAGGAAACGTCTTCCGAGCAGGAAACTGGCTCCAATGCAGCTGGCTTTACAGATAGGAAATGGGGTGTGGGGGTGGGAGGTTCTGCATGACACCTGCAGGATGCTGGCTTGAAACATGGATCCTGGGTGATTCAGAGACTCTGGAGCCAGCAGGATTCACAGCAATAATTGTCGGGGACCTGCCTCGACATAGGAACTTAGTTCACGAGGTGGGGATATCTGGCGGCTGTAAAGATATAGAAAGAATCCACAGAAAGACACAAAGAGGACGACAAAGAGACACCCCGAAACCAGAATGGATGTGAGACAGGCATCAGGCAGATCCTGCATTGCAAACATCTCAGCCAGGAAGGCCATAATATCCTGCATAGTAAACATCTTGGCTAAGCAGGCAGTATGGTTGCAATGTTGGACTGAGCCCCCTGCATGCTGTAACACATGCCTTGCCAGTCGTAATGCCCCTGGATTCATTCTGTGCCTCCGTTTTATTTAGGGGAGGAGCTTCACACCAAGCTGGGAGGGACTAAGACACGGTACAGCTAACATACGTAATTTTCCCGACATTCAGGCAACTTCACATCGTAATTCGCAGGTTCGAATCCCAGGCCCGCAACTTGGTTTCTCAGGCTCAATTAACATATATATAGCACCTGAGCTCAGTTGGGGGAAGGTGAGAAGGAAGGTCAAAAGGCTTGGGAGGAGTCCCGCTGTGTTGGCTTCCTGAGCCAGGTTTTCAGGAACCTGGCTGAATAGCCTGCACCTGGGAGAGGTCTAGGGAGGACTGTCCTTTTGCCTATAGAACAAAGAACCAGGAAGTAGCCAACCTATTTTTAGTTAATCCTTTGGAGAAAAACTTTGCCTTTGAAACCTTTACAGTCTCGGCTTTAGGAAAATATTACATTTATCTGTGGATATCAGGGCTCATGTATGCAATTAGTAATAAACATAACTGAACACTAAGATGGAAAACAATTTGCCATGACTGCCAGGTGGCTAGAGTCTGTTCCTCAGAGCCTGCGGCCTGTATGGTCTGCAACACTCAGGCCCACAGGGCCTCGAACTCCTGACCGGGTCTGCACGGTCTGCAACAAATAATAACAACGGCAATAGTAAGAGCAGCAGCATAGGTGCTCCTTTTATATGCCATGTGTTGGTATCAGGGGCTTCCAAAAGGACGTGGAAAATGCAATGAAAAGATAATGATAATGGAATTTTTGCACAAACTTTTTGAAGCCCCCTCATACATCAACCCTCTATATCCAAGGGGAATTGTTTCCAGGACCTCATATCAAAACCTATGGTTACTCAACCTTATATAAATGGTGTAATATTTGCAAATAGTGAACATACATCCTTCCAGGTATTTAAATCATCTCTAGATTCCATATGGGAGCATGGTGGCTCCATAGCATAAGCACTGGGCTGCAAACCACAAGGTCCATGGTAGGAACTCCTCAGGAAGAAAGAGGAGGCTTTCTGCTCCTGTGAAGATTTAAAGCTTCAGGAACCCTGTACAGGGTTGCTATGAGTCACTTAACAACAACAAGATTACTTATAACACTGAATGCAATGAATGTTCCTGTAAATAGCATTCCAGTTTCCCTCTTAGCCTTGAGGGAGTGCTGTGACCACTTAATTGCATTTTAGGAGTTATTTTTTCACAGAAACAAAGGGATGTACACAACACGAGTAACAAAAGCATGAGATGTGGGCAAATAGTGCTGCAGTAATGAGTGCCGAGAATGGACTATGGAGGTGAAATGGCAGGGTTCTGAGAACTCAGCACTACTCTTTGCTATGTAGTGCTTGCCATGGACCAAATTTGAGTTTTGATTTTGGAATTTTTTTCTCCAAATATTTGCGACCGGCAGTTGGTTGAACATGTGAATGCAGAACCCGTGGATATGAAGGACCAACTAACTGTACTTTCATATTCACTCCTCATTTAATCATCAAACAACCCCTGGAGGCAAGGTGTGCCTCCCTCTATACAAATGAGGTGATGCAGACAGCACTTTACTCTGGAAAGTACCAGGACACGCACTGCATCTTCATCCCTCTCTGCCCTGGTGTAGCACTGAAGGATAAGACTGGACTGCTAATGAAAGGTCGGCAGTTCAAACCTACCCAGAGCTGCTTGAAACACTATACAGGATTGTTGTGATTCAAAACCAACTTGATGGCACTTAGCAACAACAACAGGAACCCTAAAAAGGACAAGTCCTTATTCACTTGTAGGTTCCTCCTAAAGAGGCCCTTCTCAGATTTAGCATCTTCCAATTGTGGTTACGAATCGGGCTGCGAACCTTAAGGTCAGCGGTTCGAAACTACCAGCCGCTCCGCGGGAGAAAGATGAGGCTTTCTACTCCCGTAAAGATTTACACCCTCGGAAACCCTGTACAGGGTCGCTATGGGTCGGAACCGACTCGACGGCACTTAACAACAACAACAACAACAATTGTTGTCAAGAGATCAGACGACATATTCCATTAGGCAAATCTTCTGCACAGGAACTTTTTTAAAGTGTTGAAGAGCAAAGATGTCAGCTTGAGGACTAAGGTGCGCCTGACCCAAGCCATGA